GCATACAACCAAGAAAACTACAAATATTTTATCTACAGAAAAACTTATACATGAATGTTCACAGTTTCATTACTGATAATAGTCAAAAATTATAAACAGCCCAAATCTTTACCAATTGATGATGTATGAATAAAATGATTTATTTATATAATGGACTATTATTCAGCCCCCCAAAAAATGAAGTACTAACAACTGCTACAACATTACACTTAAGTAAAAGCAGCCAGTCACAAAAGGCCACATAGTAGACATTTTATCTATTTGCATAATGTCTCAACAGGCAAATCCATAGAGACAAAAAGTAGCTCAGTGGTTGTGTGGGATGGAAGAAATGAATGCGATGGACAATGGGTTCCTTTCTGGGGTAAAAATGTTATGGAATTAGTGGTGGTGACTGCACAACTTGGTGAGTATACAAAAACCACTGAGTTGTACATTTCAAAAAGTGACTATTACAATATGTGAATTACCTAAAGCAGGGGAAACTTTAAAGATTTGCTTAATTTTAACTGGAAAAAGCTGTGAAATAATATTTTTTGCTATTTAGTTCATTAAATTTATTCTTACTAAACTTAATCTACAAGATAAGAATGAAATCTCACAACCTGCCCACAAATGATATATAATGGACATGCTTCTCATTCCTGGGAAGACCCGAGTTTCCTCATTTTTTTTCACTGCAGTATTTGATGAAATGCCTCTACATTATCCTGGTTTCTACAGACTAAAGATAAGAAAGGCTGTCAGGCAGAAGCAACCCAAGTGTCTGATGCCAGATGCATGGCTACACAAAATGCAGAATATATGTAAAATGGATTGTTAGTCAACCTTAAACAAAATGAAATTTTAACACATGCTTTATCTATGTTGCAAAATGGATAAACCTTTGAGACATTATGCTAAGTGAAATAAACCAGTCACAAAAATACAACTGTTACATAATTCCACTAATGTAAGATTCCCAGAATATTAAAATACATTGAGACAGAAAGCAGCAAGGTGGTTGCTAGGGGAAGAATGGAATGGGGGGTTAGTGTTTAATGGGTACAGAGTTTCAGTTGGGGATTATGAAAATATTCTGGAGATGGATAGTAGTGATGGTCACACAACAATATGAATGTGCTTCATGTCATAGAACTGTGTACTTATTTGTTTACTTTAAATTAATTAATTTATTTGAAAAGCAGTTATAGGGAGAGGGAAAAGGGGAGGGAAAGGAGGCGGGAGAGATCATCTTTCTACAGGTTCACACCACAATGGCTGGGGCTGGGCCAGGCAAAATCCAAGAACCAAGAGCTTCCTAAGGTCTCCTACCTGGGTAGTAGGGGCCCAAGTACTTGGACCACTTTCCTTTGCTATTCCTAGTGCATTAGCAGAGAGCTGGATTGGAAGTGGAGCAGCTACGGCTCAAACCAGCATTCATATGGGACGCCAATGTTGCATGCAGCAGCTTAACACACTGTGCCACAGTGCTGGCCCTAAGAACTGTACATTTTTTAAAATTTTATTTAAGGCATACAAATTCCATGGTAAGTTTTTGTTATGCATATTTTCTCTCAATTAAAAAAAAGTGTTAAGGACTCTTAAGTGGTGGAATGGAAATCTGTAGAATGGTGGGTCTTGGTGGGTAATCAGTAAAGCAGGCTATTCACTAAAGGGCCTTCAATTATCATTACCTATAGGTCTTTTCTCTCCAGCTGGTCAATTTTCCATATGCAAGAATTCTGTCATCACTAGTCAGGGTCCTCTTTATGGTGAATCAATAATGATGAGTGCAAGGTTCTCATTCATTTATATTTTTACAGTCTATATTTCCCCATCTCATTAAAATAGAAGCTATTTGAAGGCAGACACTTTTGTTTTTTTACACTGATATATCCCCAGGGCCTACAACAATGAAACATTACTGGGCATTCAGTAACATCTGCTGGATGAATGAATCAAGCATTTATGAAGCACTTCATAGATGTGTCAAGAACTATGTTATTTCACAATTATAAACTCAATCCTTAAACTACGGCATAAGCGATATTCTTCTAATTTTACCAATGAAGGGGGTACAAGGAGACTGGGCAACCTGTCTGTGGAAACTAAGGCACAGCTGGGACTCAGGCATGGGGGCTGTTGGATACCATGATTTATCTTAACTACTGTACCGCCTTCTGCAGCACATGTGTGTGTATATACACTTACAATGTGTGCTACACACACACACATTCTTATAAGAATTGTGTAGTATTCTCAAATTGTATGCAAACTGTGCAGCATTAGTCTCTGAGAATAAGAATCTACTATTTCATCACATGCTAATGACATAATATGTGAATTACAGTCTGATAGGTATTGCCTTAAAATTAATCACCTGTTAAATTTTAATAGGTGATTCAATTTTGTGTGCTTAATTCTGAAAAAGGAATATAGCAAATAAGATGTATCTAGTAAAAAGTTCACAAGAATTAAGTAATAAGTGCATTGAACACAGTCCCAGGATACAGAAAAATAAGAATAAGCTCAAGGGCATGTGTGTGGAACAGGTGGTGAGCCACACTATAGTGAGACATCAAGTGTGCTAACATCTGAACATGGGGGAGAACTCCCAAGACAGAAATGGTTGGCAGAAAAACTGCTGGTTATATCACCCAATCCTAATTAACAAGAGAATTTTCATTCCCATTAGGACTATTTGTCTCCTTATGACTTCTTTGCTTGGCATCCTAAGATATACTAGTAAAAAAGATGGCATGGGATGTTAGGAGCTACATGAACAGATATCTTGAGGTAAGAATTCCAATCTTTGCATTGATACTAACAGTGTGATCTAGGTTAAATCACATGAAAAAGAAAGAACACTAGAGCTTATTAGCCATTAATTCCAAACATCTCAGTTTATTTGAGAAAGCAAACTTACTTTCCCATGAAATAATGAAGACTTAACTTGCCCTTTAAAAAGTAATTAGGGGCCGGCGCCGCGGCTCACTGGGCTAATCCTCCGCCTAGCGGCGCCGGCACACCGGGTTCTGGTCCCGGTCGGGGCGCCGGATTCTGTCCCGGTTGCCCCTCTTCCAGGCCGGCCCTCTGCTGTGGCCAGGGAGTGCAGTGGAGGATGGCCCGGGTGCTTGGGCCCTGCACCCCATGGGAGACCAGGAGAGGCACCTGGCTCCTGGCTCCTGCTGTCGGATCAGCGCGGTGCGCCAGCCGCAGCGCGCCGGCCGCGGCGGCCATTGGAGGGTGAACCAACGGCAGGGGAAGACCTTTCTCTCTGTCTCTCTCTCTCACTGTCCACTCTGCCTGTCAAAAAAAAAAAAAAAAAAAGTAATTAGGGCCGGCGCCGCAGCTCACTAGGCTAATCCTCTGCCTGCGGCGCCGGCACACCGGGTTCTAGTCCTGGTCGGGGCGCCGGATTCTGTCCCGGTTGCCCCCCTTCCAGGCCAGCTCTCTGCTGTGGCCAGGGAGTGCAGTGGAGGATGGTCCAAGTGCTTGGGCCCTGCACCCCATGGGAGACCAGGAAAAGTACCTCGCTCCTACCATCAGATTAGCGCAGTGCGCTGGCCGCAGCGCACTGGCCGCGGCGGCCATTGGAGGGTGAACCAACGGCAAAGGAAGACCTTTCTCTCTGTCTCTCTCTCTCACTGTCCACTCTGCCTGTCAAAATAAATAAATAAATAATAAAAATAAAAAGTAATTAGGCTTCTAACCTAGAAATTTCAATTTATAATTAAACACCTCTGGCATTTGCAACCAAATAGTAACCTGATCATTTATAATCCAGGGCTATTTCCCAATATGATGGATTACTATAGTTATCTAGGGTTATAGGATATAAGTTATAGGTTATATAGGATAGGGTTATAGCATGATACAGGTTATATAGGATAGGGTTATAGGGTTATAGCTTGATATAGGTTATACAGGATACAGGTTATATAGGATAGGGTTATAAGATATAAGTTATAGGTTATAGGATAATCTAGGGTTATCTCCCAATATGACCGAGTACCATAGTTGAGCTAATTTTTTTTACAGATAAAAAGTGTGGGGTAGTGGTAAGCAATGTGGCCATGGAACCTGCCTGACCAGATTCCAGAAGAAGCTTGCTCCCTGTGGAACCTGACTTAAAGAAGGCCACTAATGCCAAGACAGCTTATCTGTGCTAACAGTACCTGCTATCTTGTAGGGTTTAGAACAATGACTAATTATATAAATTTACAAGCATATTCAAGGCTTGCATTATTAAACAGTAAAGCTAAACACTGTTGGGTTAAAGATTATAAATTGTTCCTATTAGGAAGCAGAAACCAGTTGAGGGAATTTGCCCTAACAAAGATATTTTACAAAACTGTCCCATTTTCCAATATGATGTCTAGCTTTCTTTTATTCTGTCTCATTTTTTATTTATTTACTTGAGATGGAGAGAGACAGACATAGGCAGAGAGAGAGCTTCCATTCTCTAGTTTCCAATATGCCCACAAAGCTCAGGGCCGGACCACTCCAAAGTCAGGAGCTGGAAGCCAGAAGCAGGGAATCCAACTCTGTTCTCCCCATCGTGGGCAGTGACCCAACTCCTTTAGCCATCGCCTGCTCTATCTGTGGGTGTCCATTAGCTAGAAGCTGGAATTGAGCCATGACCCAAAGCCATGCATTCTGATATGGGATGCAGATGTTCCAATTGGCATCTTGATGCCAGTGTCTTACACCTGCACCAGCAGCTAGTTCTCAGCACCAAAACACTGCATGTGTGTACATTTTCTTTCTCCATTTTCTATTCAGAGTGATATTTTGAAATTTACGTATGATTTCCTCCTTAGTTTTGACATTTTCCTTATTACAAAAGCAAAACATGTTTGCTGGAATAAGTGAAACAAGACAGTTTATAAAAGAAAAGCTAAATCTCCCTTTGCATATCTATTCCTAATCCTGCTTCTTAAAACAATCACCATTATCAACACAAACACTTTTTACAAATTCATTTTTTTTTCTTTTCAAAATTACTACAGACTTACCTCCAGATATATTGATGGTGGATTATGCTCCCCACCAAATTTGTCCAATAGGGCCTCTATATGCTCCTGTGTCAACTTAATCATTTGTTTGATATTCCACACCTAAAAAACATTTTAAAAGAGTTTAAATGAAAGTCACTTAGTACATGAATTAGAAATATTTTAATGCAGATAACTACACTGCAGTAACTGTCAGTATTCCTAGAAATTTAGAGCTTAAAGATAATTTAATATAGTGGTTTTTCCCTTTTTTTATTGAGCATTAAAATTTTTTTCTACCCTAGTAATACAGTATGTTCTCAACTATACAAGATTCAACTAATACATGTGTATTCACAATAAACCATGAAAATCTCTTTTTACATTCCCCATATTTCCAGCCTAAGGTCAAAAAGAGAAGTACTATTTATAGTTTAGTGAGCATTCTTCTGTGTGTCCTTTTTAGCTCATGTAAAAATAAACATATATAAATACACAGAATACTTATAATACAAATACAACATTAAAAAATTTTTTGTGAAATTTAAAGAAAAACTTTATTGAAGATCTGAAAAACAATTCCTAAAAGATCAACTTTTCCAGAAAATTGTAGATACACAATGCATTGCGTCTATTGTGTTAAAACGTGCATTAGACACAAATACAAAAACCATGAAACAAGCCACCATTCTTCAACAATTTGAGCAAAGATAAAATGCCTAAGGAACCACATGGATGACTTGCCAAGGATGGGCTCTTTACTTTAAGCACCATTAAAAAAAAAAAAAAAAAAAAAAAAAAAGGAGCACAAGTGGATGAGTGTGTTCAGTTATACACACTGAATTGAACCTTTGGCACTAAGAATCAGGGCATCTTGTCATATAGCATTAACACATATTATAAAAGTGCATAGTGTCAAAGGCATAGAACCACCAGCATTCAAAGCAGCTTTGTCGACCAGGCAATGAAATTCTACAGCACGTCCCTCTGTTGTCCATCAATGAATACACTGCTAGCAACTTTGAAATGAAAAAGTAAGAAAAGAAAAAAAGGAGCTGCAACCCCTTTCATTTTCTCTGTTCAAAATCAAACAGAAAACAAACATCAATTCTGCTTTACACTAACATCTTAAAAGTGTGGGGACCCATGAGCCGGCCATGGGCCCACATGCTAAGGCTTAGCGTTGCTGACCGTTTGCAATAGTTACTGCTGTGTGGATGTTTATGGTTTCTGCTGAGCTGTGATATCGGGACCTTTCCATAACCCCAGGGTTGAGTCTACAACTATGGCCTCGGGACTTCCCATACTTCTTTTCCCACTGACCAAGAGTTAAGAAAACACCAGGTGGAGCAACGATAAGCTTTCTGCTGGCGTCCGAGCCGCCTGCTACGTGACCAGGAGCTTGATTGGATGAAGACACGTGATCACCTTTATGGTTGGACAAGGAGTGCATGGACTGTGCGTTATCAGGCACCCGACTGGAGCACCGCCGCATGGACTGTAGCATGGACTAAGCTTGCATTACATGCTTCTGCAATGTTATACTATATAAGCCATACATGAAAGAGTAATGGGAGCTTCCCCTTTCTTTCAGAGCTCCCCTTGCTCAAGGGTTTCTTTTTCTATCCTGTTTAAATAAAGTCTACTGAAGACCGATAAGCTGCGAGCAACGTCGTTCCTTTGCAGGCAGGGGAGCGACAAAAAGTACATCATTTGTACAAGAGAAGGACTGAAAACAAAAATGTGTTTACAGAGATGCCAATATTAGTGAGTGAGTGTGCCGCCTCTCACACAGCTTTCCGGTGGTACTCAGGGGGAGCCACTTCGTAATCACTGGCGCTACACAAAGTTGCAGAATTCTTTGCCAGGTACTTTAGGAAATCGTGAAGATAATTCAGTAACAAAGCAAGGCTCTTCTCATCCAGAAGTGTATAGGCCAACATCGCTCCAATTTGCACAAATAATCACAGTAGATGTGGCGCTCCATACACCTGGGTCAGGATGATATGCGAGGATTTCAGCGTACTGTGGTCTCTCAAATTTATAGAGCAGCTGAGTGCCCAGCACTACATTAGAGTATTCTTTTATCCCTGCCACAACTTCATTAACAGCGTATTCCTTATCATCTTATAATTTGCATAATCCTCCAGATTGGATGCACATTCTTCTTCCCAGGAAGATAAAACTGCTGTTTTGTCTTGTACTTAAGTCCCAATCCTCAACCAGCCATGGTTGGAGCTCTGCAGGAAGCTTTAACTTCCCCTCTGTTCATGAATGTTCCTTCATTTTCACAGTAGGATCTCCACGGGCCCTTTTCTACCGAGGAGGCTGAGGCGTCTCGCTGGCACTGCCGCCATCTCCATTTCCAGGTGTTTTCTGTTCTCACGTCCACATTTTTCTGTGGCAGACCAGAAGTCTTCCCTCCTGGAGCAGCCCCTCTCATCTTCCCCTCTGCATACTGCTCCTGGTGGGCCTTCTGAAGTTCTCGCTGTTTCTGCAGAGTGGTGCCCACAGGTTTGAGTACTCTGCTCTCTGGAACCCATTCATCCCAATTTTTATTCCAACCACCTCCTGGAATTTAGGCTTTGGGTACTGCTTGGGTGCCAATTAGTGATTCGCTGCCTCCTCCTTCTCCCACCACCCCCGACTACCGCCCCTTACTCTCTACCCCACCCAACTCAGCGTCAGACACGCCATCAGGAACTGCCGGCTCTACATCCTGAGCCCGATTTGCCAGCATCCCATTTTAAAATATTTTAACCTGTTTTTCTTGATCAATAGCAATGCCTCAGGAATATGGTTTTTTTTAAAGATTTTATTTATTTTTAGAGAGAGAATTTACAGAGAGAGAGACAGAGACAGAGAGAAAGATCTTCTATCCCCTGGTTTACTCCCCAAATGGCTGCAATGGCCAGAGCTGGGCCAATCAGGAGCCAGGAGCTTCTTCTGGGTCTCCCATGCGGGTGCACTTGGGCCATCTTCCACTGCTTTTTAATAGCTTAAGCACTTTATTTCATAATACTTTCATGATGCTGCTAATGTCAATGGTCTCCAATTCTGGTGTAACCAGAGGTTAGGTAGACATAGTAATTGTAAGAGAATTGATTACTAGATCCTCAGCCTCCATTTGTACTTTCCCTAACTGATTGGCTCTGTGCCTACCTGCCCATTTAAAAATCATCATTTTCCACTTTACAAAAGAAAGGCAAAGATCAACTACTACTAAAGATGTTGTTCTGAGATGTATAAACACCAAAGATCCTAATAAACAGACAGCAGTTGAAAGAAGACGGAAATCTCCTGAGAGCAAAGGGGGAAACTTAAGAGCAGGACCTTCTCAATGAAATAAACTTGTGGTGGCAGGTATTTGGCACAGTGGTAAGGACAAGCTTGGAAAGCCTGCATCTCATCAGAATGCCTGAGTTTGAGTCCTGGCTCTGCCCCGGATTCTAATTTCCTGTTATTGTGTACACGGGAGGCAGAAGGGGATTGCTCAAGTATGCAGGTCCCTACCACCCATGTGGGAGACCTGGACTGCTTTCTGGGCTCCTGGCCCTGGCTGTTGCAGGCATTTGGGGAGTGAACAAGCAGATGAAAAGTATCTCTCTCTTTCCCTCTCTAACTCTGCCTTTCAAATAAAGCAAATAAATATTTTAAAAAATCTAATAAATATGACAAATGGTGTTCCAAAAGAAGAAATGTATCAACTCATGCCTAATCAAAGGGTAGGAGTCATCCCTTTTTTCCAGTCTCATCATCACTGAGTATCGTACTTCGTACTTTTTTTTTGACAGGCAGAGTTTGTGAGAGAGACAGAGACAGAAAGAAAGGTCTTCCGTTTTTCTGTTGGTTCACCCCCCTAGTGGCTGCTACGGCCAGCACGCTGTGCCAATCCGAAGCCAGGAGCCAGGTGCTTCCTCCTAGTCTCCCATGGGGTGCAGGGCCCAAGCCATCCTCCACTGCACTCCCAGGCCACAGCAGAGAGCTGGACTGGAAGAGGAGCAACCGGGACTAGTACCCGGAGCCCCAACCGGGACAGAATTCACGGTGCCAGCGCCGCAGGCAGAGGATTAGCCAAGTGAGCCGCAGCGCTGGCCGAGTATCGTACTTCTAAACTCTTGTTATTCTGAAGGAGAAAAGGTGATTATGTTGCTTTAATTTGCATTTCCTAGAAAGCTAAGTATTCTTCATGTTTATTGATCATTTGAAGTTTTGGAAAATTGCTTCTGCTGTTTACCCTTTCACGCTGCTGATCTGTTTATTTTTTCTTACTGCTTGACAGATGCTTTTATTCTGTATGTTAATCCTTTCTCTTCTACAGATGTCACAGTTTACCACTTGTTCTGCCAGTTTCTCAAAGAGCGGTCCAGGACCAACAGCATCAGCATCTCTGGGAAGTTTGAGCTACAGAATCTCGTGCTCCATTTCCAACTTACTGGACTTTAAAACAAAATGATTCACGCAGCTCAATAGGCTAATCCTCCGCCTGAAGCACCGGCACACTGGGTTCTAGTCCCGGTCGGGGAGCCGGATTCTGTCCCGGTTGCCCCTCTTCCAGGCCAGCTCTCTGCTGTGGCCTGGGAGTGCAGTGGAGGATGGCCCAAGTGTTTGGGCCCTGCACCTGCATGGGAGACCAGGAGAAGCACCTGGCTCCTGGCTTTGGATCAGTGTGGTGCGCCAGCCACAGTGCGCCGGCCACAGCGGCCATTGGAGGGTGAACCAATGGTTAAAGGAAGACCTTTCTCTCTCTGTCTCTCTTTCTCACTGTCCACTCTGCCTGTCAAAAAAAAAAAAAAAAAAAAAAAAAAAAAAAAAAGTCCCAAAAAGACAAATAGCATAAAACAAAATGATTCAAATGCACACTAAAGTCTGAGAAGCAATAAAAGATGGTTTTACTTTTTTCTGGTCAAATATTAAAATACAAGTATTTTCTTCTAGGATGCTGTTGCTGATTTCTCATATCTCCAAAAGGTTCTAGATGTTGCCTTTTCCCTAGGTATGCTCACTCTTCGGGTGGTTTCAAGCAATCTCGTATCTTCATGTACAGTACGAACAAATGGACACCTACCTCTACCTTTTCTTCTCAACTTCAGACTCCTTTTCCTATTGCCTACTGAATATTT